AGCGGCCCGGGTGAGCGCCTCCGGCCAGAACCCAGGTCAGGCACCGGGAACCAGGCTGTGCTGTGGAGCCGGTGTGTGGGCGCTGGGGGTGCGGGCCTGTCCCCCCCACCCACACATCACAGAGACGGACGGCACGCACCCCACCCCCGTGCTACGTGCCCCACAGGACACAGCTGCTCCGTGAGCCTGTGAGCCCAGATGACCCAGTGCCCCTCCCACCCCCAGGACAAGGCCTACCGTCTGGGCTGCATGAACCAGCGCTTCTCCTAATCCTCAAGTGTCAACGGTGATCCCTGACCAGGCCTGGCCGCCCTCCCGCACCGATAGGTTATCTGGCCAGATGGTGACCAGAGGGCGGGCGGGGGGCTGCTTGGTGGGCGGGCGGAGGGAGGTGCCTCAAGCCCCACGCAGGCTGGGCCCCATGTTTCCGCGTCTGTCCATCGGATTCCTCTGGGGAGACACAGACAGGACACCACACACACGGTCACTTCCTCTCCACCCCGACCCGCTCGGTCTCCACGGGGCTGCCCAGCGCCTGGAGCGGACAGGCCTGTCACCAACCTGGTGTCCAGGGGGCACGATGCCACCCTCCCTGTGAGGAGCCCGCCTGCTCGAGGAGACAGGCATGGGCGTGGGCACTAGAGGCCCCCGCGGTGGGGAAGGCAGGCGGCGGGGCCTGGGGGCGCCCCCTGAGACGTGGTGAACCCCGGCTCTGCCACTGACACGGCTAGTGGTGAAGGGCCACGTTTCCGCGTGGCACCAGCGCCTGCCACAGCTCGGAGCCATGGATGAGTGGACGGTCTGGGCTCTGCAATCGCCGCTTTTCCCAGCCACGGAGACGGAAGGGTTCCCAACAAATGGCCGACGGGTGGATACCTGCTTCCTCGCTGGGAAATGCCAGTTAAGGTCTCTCTTACTCCACAACAGTCCCTTGCACAGCAAACACCCCAGACATCAGCATCGCACCGACCTCCCAAGTCACCAGGACCCGGAGCAGGACGGGGGGCCAAGGGGGAAGCCACCAGGCAAGAGGTCACGGGGGAGAGAGGAGAGTTGCATTTGCACTGAAAGTCCTCTCTCCCTCCCCCTCCCTCTCCCCCCCCTCGTTTGTTCGCTCGCTCCAACACCTACGCAGTGTCTACTGGGCACACGAAACGGGCGTGGCTCAGAGTCCAGGCTCAAGGAAGGTTTCTTGGGGAGACAGCCTTCATCCCGGGGTGCCTGTTGGCTTTGCCGAGATGAGCCCCTCAGGCAGCCAGCGGAAGACCAGCCACACTCAGTTCCCACAGGGCCGGCCCTCCCCCCTGGCCCCCGTGGCCCCTGTGGCCAGAGCGGAAGCTGGCCCA